TTTTTTTTTTCTTTTAGCACATCAGGACTGACAGCAGGACATTCATTAAAGAGAAAACACCAGTGAACTTGAATGAGGGCTGATGGACATGAGGATGAAGATAAATGCACATTATGTACTGAAGTGTCTCAGAGGGATGTAATGCTGCTGATATAGTGGTGTTAATAATAGATAGGCCTTACACTATAAAGCAATGTGATTACACTTTCTTTCTTTTTTTTAACCACAGTGGCCTATTTCCTTTGAACGGCATGCCCAGATAGAACCAACCCTGTCTTTTTTTTATTAGTATTATTTAAAACCTTACAGCTCAGACTCGTTGCTGTGCGTCCGGGCTAAATCTACAAGGGAATGTGGGGTCTCACTGAACCCGAACCGGGTCGGATGCCGTTCGTACAAGCTGTCCTTTGTGAGGAAACACGCATGCAGGACCTGTCTGTCGGTATAGTGAAGGCATGCTGAAAGCTTACAGTCGAGGTGCTTCTTCTTGGGTCCGCTGACTTCGTGCGTCGTGGCCTTGCACACGGCTTTGCTGATGGCAGAACCGGTCATGCTGTGCTGCGCGGCGGCGATCCGGTCCGTCAAAGACTGTCCCGACATGTTACAGAGGAGGAAGAGGAGGAGGAGGAGGAGGGGGTGCTGCTGGTGATGTCCGGGTGGGGGGAACCGGGGAGGACGATCAAAATGTCTTTAGTGGCAGGGAGGAGGGTAGTGCCCTCTGTGAGGAGGAGGAGGAGGAGGAGGAGGAAGAGGAGGAGGACAGAAGCAGCAGCAAACACCGATGAGGATCCGGTGAGAGAATTCATGCGGCTATTCCCCCCAAAAATAAATAAAATAAATAAATTACAGAAGACCTTCGTGTCCAGAAAAGCGTTTAAAAACCATTTAAAAACGATGATAATGGAAGCCACCAGCATAAAAAGCTGCTACAATGAAACAACACAATGAATGCGCTTTGATTGGACGTGTCCCAGGGAAAAAAAAGAAAGAAAGAAAACGCCGATATATCAAGAATCAAAAAATTTAATTAAATGCGGCATCTCCTATTGCTGAAGACTCGTTTTAAAATAATAATAAAAAAAACCTGAATTATCATCTCTTTGCGGCTTTTCCTGCGCTTCAGCCGGTTTCTGTGTCCTGAACGCAGACACCTCTCTGATCCCGCAGCACCACACACTGGCTGCACCAAGCTTTTCCTTTTTTTTTCTCTCTCTCTCTCTCGCTCTCTCTCTCTTTGTCGTGCAAAAATGGAGAATTTCTCTTTTGGGGTTACCGACACACAAATTCATATGTTTTTATTTATTTATTTTTAAACACATCAGTTAAACTTGTGTGTAAAATGGCAGCAACCTGAATCAGGTGACTGGAAAGGAAAGGGGGGGGCGATTGGGCCACACTTCTCGATCCGGGGGAGGGAATCTTAAAGCAGAAGGTGGTATTTTCAAAACAAACAAACAAAAAAAATGGCATGTTGGTTTGTCACCTCGATATATATTTAGGTTAGGTTACTCACAAGGGATGTTTGATACTGCCAAATTTCTTTCCAATACTGATACCGAGTAATCTCAGGCTGTATCGGCGATACTGTCTGAACCAACACTGATTCTTTGTGCAAACACACATAATGTGCCTAATAAATATAAAAAGTAGCGTTTTTCAAATAACCGCTTTATAAAATTACAAGACAGAGTCATTTATTTCAGTGGTTTCCAACTTTTTAGACTTGTGTACCCCCTGAGCCATTTTGTCATACAACTACCCCTTCAGTCAAACGTAATGATGATTCTCAAAACCTATAATGTACTACAACTGATTATTAAATGGAAATTATTTATTTAACCCCCTAGAATGTTTAATTCTCAGGCATTTTATATTTTTTTTCCAACTCAAATTGAACTTAAAGATAAAATCATGGCCTTGAAAGTGAATAAGTAGTTAAATAAATAAACCAGGTAATGGCAGGTGCAGAAAACAGCAGCATCTAAAATACATTGTATTGTCCAAAATACATCAGAAACTCACCCAAATGAGCAAATTCTGTGAGATTCCATGTTTGTTTGTTTTTTTACTGGATTCCATTTTGTGTTAATTCTGTGATTCAGACTGCAATTTCCGCTTTGCGGAAATCATAGGGCCCTATATCTTAGTACTATTTTTTACACACCTGGGAAAATTTTCCATGTACCCCCTGTAATATACTTGCATGCCCCTGGTTGGGAATTACTGCTTTAGACTTTGTCGAGGGCTGAAGGAACTGTCCAAGGTCCTGAAAGTGCTGGAATGTTTCAGGACTTTAGACAGTGTGTAAGGCTGAAGGAACTGTCCAAAGTCCTGAAAGTGCTGGAATGTTTTAGGACTTTAGACAATATGAAAGACTGAAGGAACTTTCCAAGGTCCTGAAAGTGCTGAAATGTTTCAGGACCTTAGACAACGTGAAAGACTGAAGGAACTGTCCAAGGTCCTGAAAGTGCCGGAATGTTTCAGGACTTTATTTGTTCATTAAAAAGTCTTTCTAACCCCAACCCTATTATATTTGTTTAGCTTAATTTAGAATTTGTTTTTAAACAAATTTAATAGTTTTTGATTAGTGAATAAAAGAGAATAAAATTCTAAATGTTGATGTTTCTTCACATATTATACAGTATAATATTTTTTGTAGGTTTGTACGAGGGCCCCCGGCCATAAGCTAATGCTGTTTGTGGGGTCAAAGCATGGAACAATTGGGAACCCCTCACCTAGAATGTAATTAAAGACAGTAGCCTAAGCTGATTTTGTTAAAATGACCTGCCATACATGTAACATCTACACACTGACTGAGCATGTGCCACTGCACTAATGCATCATCCAAATAGAAGAAAAGTAGTTCCCTCTAACCACAAGATTTGAATAGTTTAGTTATTTTCCATTATCTATGATATACATTACCTGACATGACTGAAGTAAAGATATTTTGGTTTTAGTATTGATTCTAGACTATAAAGGTTTGATGTCTGTAGTATCAATATTTCAGTTTTTTTTTAGTTTTTTTTTTTAGATTAGCCTTTATTGTCCTGCAGAGGGGTAATTAATTCTCCACATTTTACCCATCGCACATGTGAACACACATGCGGGGCAGTGGGCTGCCAATTATAGTGCCCAGGGAGCAGCTGAGAGGACAAGGGCCTTGCTCAAGGGCCCAAAGTGGCGCTGGTTGGTTCGGGGAGTTGAACCGGCAGCCTTCCGACCACAGACTCATCTCCTCTAACCTCTGCTCCATGATCCGCACATCACTATTACTCACCCTCAAGCTATCTGCTGCAGATTCCTAAATTATTTTGCTGTAAAAGTACAGCTCCAGATAAAGCCAGTTCTAATTTTTTAATAATGGTGAATAATCATCTTGATTTATGATACATATATATATATACACACATAAAGATGCAGAAAGTCAAAAAAGGCAACGTAAAGAATTTTTTTATTTTCCAAATAGTCCACTTAACAAAAGTTGCAGGGACGACTGGTGTTTCTTTACAAGCTGATGCAATTATACATCAAAGGGAATGAAGTAAAAACATGGAATTGAAATAACACTTGAGGTGGACTGAACAAAGGCTGTGTTTAAAAAAGCAGCACAGACCAGAAGTTGGACCAGCGAGATATAGATTTTACAATTGTAAACAATGTATGAACAACAATGAAGCCTACAAGTTTGACAGTGAGTCAGCTCTGAAGGGAAACAAGTTGTTTCTTAGTGTCTGCAGTCAGATATTCAACTCTGCAGGAAGAAACAGCTTTTGGCTCAAGACAGTAAATATCTGAATAAAGGGCTTGTCTGCATTTTCACCTTTACTTTTTGTCTGCATAAAAAATAAAAAATTCACCAGTTTATCCATCAGTGATGGGTTATAGTGATTACATGATGTTGATAAAGGTTAATGTTTCATTACTTCCAAAAAAATAAAATAAAATAATGTTTTTCCACCCAGTCTCATTCATTAACATTTTTGTTAGAGATGGTGTGATGATGAGGCTGGCAATATGAGCAAATGATATCAGACTGTCACAAATTATATACTGGACTTAATTTCTATTATAGTAGAAGTCTTGAGAAAAATACACCCAAGTGCTGTTAGATACATTTTAATAACATGGCAAATATATTTGGTGCAATCTGTAAACATTAAATTCTGCTAGTAGTGTTTTTATTGTTTTATTTTGTTCTTCATAGACCGTTTTAACTTGTTCTAAAACATAATAAAAAAAACCTGTTTGAAGTTAAAATATCAACCTTTTATGATTTGTTTTCACCTAAATAAATAAAATCTCTAGCCTTTAAAAACTCAAAAGAAAAACAAAAATATATTTTAAAAAATTAGCAAAAGGTTTATGAATATGAACCTGGAAAAATTAATCTAAATCAGAATTTTAATCACACTTCATGATTGCACGTAGAATACTAATTTGTGGGCAAATTTTGCAGTTCAATTCAATCAAGACTGAGAGAACATAAAGGTAATTCTTCTTCATTTCTATTGTAGCCTGGACCACCACGCCTCACATGGGGCACCATATTTGTAGCGAGTTGTAATAACTCACTACACTAACCCCGGATTTAAATTACTTGCGTTCCGTCTCCGCTCCACTGTGCTGCACAGGTCGCAGCTGCACCGTTTCAAGTCCACTTTACACTACCTCCACTCCGGGCCGACAGACATGCAGGAAGCAGATCGTGCTATAAATTCAGTGATAAATGTGGAAGTCACAGCAAAAAATAATTAATTCTGTCAAAGACAAACTCCAAACACAGCTGAAAACATTGATATAAAGGCTTTTGGTATCTATGGTTGAAACTGTCTCACTGTCGGCTTTCTGAAACTTCTGATTTCAAAATAAAATCCACGTGTATCATGTGTGTGCACATATGCTTCATGCTACATGTTTCCATCTGCTTCCCAAACAGAATGATACATTCTGACAGCATTTGTGTAGAAATATATCTGTATACTTATTAATATAGCTGCAATTTTGACATTATTTCGACAAATTATTCTGCCCAATAGTGTCTTATTTTGAAAATACGGATGTTGTGCTCGTTTCTTTTCCTGAGGGAGCTCTCTATCTAAGGTTATTGATTTAATAAATTCCTTTTCAAGAATTTCTGACTACTCCATAAACTGGTTAAAATCCACAGTTCTTCCAATAAACTGTGTTCTTAACAGTTCTCTTAATTCACGACTGCAATCAGGTAATATTAAATATTTGTGTATTAATGTTTCTCATAGATTGGAAGACTTAATAAAATTAAACCACATCCCGCTTTTAAAGAAAATTGACGATGATCTAACTAGATGGAAATCTTTACCCATATCACTTATAGGAAGAGTTGCTTCAATTAAAA